CGACAGTGGTTTTGTCCTTCATACAGCTTATTTTGATTTCACTAAGGCTTGTAGTTGTGTTGATCATGATCTCCTCCTCCTCCTCCTCCTGAAACTTGCCTCTTTTGACAACAAGCTTCCGAATTTATTCTCCACCTATTTGGATGCTCGCACAAAACGAGCTAAAATTTCCAATGTTTTTCCCAACCCTAAGTATGGGAGGAGTGGGGTTATTGAGGGTAGCGTACTTGGTCCACTCTTATTAGCCTTTTTGTCAAAGATGGTCCTGATTGTTTTCAGTATGGTAGGCCTTTTATGTACACTGACGATTTAAAAAGAGCCTAACAGTATAAACCGGCGTATCGCAACATCGTGCTCGAGCTCATAAAACAGATCTTCAGGCGTTTGCCCAGTGGTGCTGAACATGGCGCTTTTCCATTCTTGGCGCAAATGCTCCGCTGACCTGAAGAACACTTGACTGACTTCCACTTGCACGCGCAGGTGCAAAACTAGTCGCGCTTTCTCAGAGGCCACTTCAACACCCCGCCTCTCGGCCGATGCAGCAAGGGCCTCAATACTTGACAACCCCCGGGCAATGCAACAGACCAGTCACACACCACATGGACTCGCTTCGGTCATGTAAAAGCAACTGTTATCATTACACTTTGACACAGCACTCACACCGTCAACACTCGGGCCTGACTAGACGCAGTTAACACCAGCCCTGGCTTCGCCAGTGGCCACTGCTGCCTGAGAGAGCAACTCAGGGTTCCGTGCACAATAAAGCCCTCATTTTGGTGACTTCTGGGATTCGACCTGATGATTGTAATGCTCTATGCGCAACCACGGCTTAGACACTACACCATCTCTTTAGAGAATTCCAGATTCTCGCTTCTAAATTTTCAGGCTGAAATGTCACTAAATGGGGACGAAGAACGTACGGATGACATTCTGCCATTTGCAGCAGGTGTCATAACTAAGAAATGCATGTACAATTAGTCAGGTATTTCTCAGGCAGGTAACTATCGAATAGATAACGTGTCAGAGAAATAATTTTCAAAGTCGTAATCGAACCAAGACCCAGAACAAATTGGAAGAGCCAAATGCTGCAACGGCATGAGACAGACTCTTAAAATACTACAGGTCAAGCAGGAAAAGCCGATAAGTCTAGTTTTCTTCCAGGATGAGGTGATATAATAATTTTCCATGTTTGATCACGCCTAGTTGGTTGATTTTCACTGCTTTAGAAGCAGGAGTAATCAACTTATTTATTCGAAAACAGAAAAACGTACATAATTACTGGCCATAATGGCAGCACAGATACTATCTAAAAGCCCAGACTGGCGTTTCATCGGTATTCTGCTGCTGCTTGACACAGCTGCGAAAGGTCCGACTCATCAGTAGGCGTCTGCCGTCCAGCCCAACTACGCGTGACTCATCCTGCCCTCGGCTGCCATAACGTGCACCCCGCGTGACTAATTAACTCGCATTGGCTTTTAAAACGGCATCGATTGACTCTGCTTTAAACGCGCGTACGCTTGATGTCAATCAATACACCCGCTTCAGCTGATTGGCTGCGCAGACGAGAGAGCACGGGCAAAGCGACACAACTTTTCAGACACAACTGGCAGCTGATATAACTTCTGTACAGTTGTTTTTCCCGCATTAAAACTGCTCCCCCCAATTTTGTCTTACCTGACTAGTGATAAGGGCTACCTTATTTTGGTCGACGCTACTACCTGCGATAGGTCCCACAGCATCCCTGTGATCAATAATTACGTAAGTTATACATATTACTGTTTGATGGCAGCTTGTAAATATTACGCGGCTATTCCACAGTGGCTAATAGACTTCGGCCCAAATATTCATAACAAATGTCGGTCTACACCCGTAGACCCTTGAATATGCTGAGCTATTCGAAATTGGAAACTGATTCCTGAGGAATTCAAAAAAACTTAAACAGAAAAAAAACGTTGACGGTTTCTGCAACGACGAGTGAACTGGCTGCAAGTTGTCCCCGACCCTACGAACTAACTTCAAGGCTAAAATGGTTCCTAAAATCAAAACGTGAATATTTTAATCGATACAAACCGATGATCGACCATGTGTATCACGAAAGATATTTTCAAAGACGAATGTAAAGTCAACAAAGTAGGAAGATGCAAGAACTTTATGATGCCTGAATCATCAATTTCCAATAAGTCAAATCTTACAGCGACGAGTAAAAAAACAAAGTCGTATTTAAATAAATAAATAAATAAAAATTGGCACTCTTTTGGCAAAATGCTTCGGTAATAAGGTATCACCGTCAAGTAGGTGAAGGGGGGGGGAGAGGCGTAGGAGAAAGTTTACACTACTGAAGCAGGGCGACCTGCGCAAGGGCGACACGACCCCACTTGACGTCAATGGAGGAGACGGTGGCTTTGACTCGGTCACCCAAATGAAGAGTCATACGGGTTACACCAGTCTTGCCGGCGAATGAAGAACTCAGTCGCCGCGCTGATTCGCTATTTCTGCTGGCACGAGGGAAGGCACTGACGGGTAAGAAGGCAGATTCCTCCAATCCAATGTCAACGAAGGCGCCGAAGGTAGTCACATTCTCCACTCGACCTGTTACCTGTAGACCCGGTCGCAGATCCGACATAGAGGTGATTGAGGATCGGAAAAGAGGACCGAATTGGCCTGAGAAAAGAGAACAATATGGTATATGGCAATGGAAAGATTGTTACTACACGAAGGCTTTCGAATCTATGAGGACGGACAACCTTATTATGCACAGTAAGGTAAATTCGGCTCGAGCGGCATTATAAAGTGATAATCTATCGACAAGGGGGCGAAATCCAACCCCAACATGCATAAGAGCATTAACAAGAAGTCCTAATTCAGATGGATTGGTTCGATGTCAGTAGTATCCGATAAAGTCAGGTGCATACAATGGGCAAGGTTGAGAAAAGAGGACAGGGAAATCGAAATAACACCAATACTGTTAAACTGT